GCCTCTGGCTCTCTTCGTTCGACGCACTGCCGCCTGCTTCGCCGTCACCTTTGCACCACCCCTCGTGCCCCTCGTGCAATCCCCACTCTACGGACGAGTATTCTCTCGCGTTCTCTCTTTCTCTCCCTCTAACTTTCTCTCGCGCTCTTTTTCTCTCGCATACGTGCACTTTTTCCTCCTCCCTCCTCCCCGTCTCGTCCGTTTTTCGCGTCCGTTCCACTCTTCCCGCCGTTCTCCGCGCTCGGACCTCTCTATCAGCATATCTCATTCTCTCCCCTTTCCCTCCGCCTTCACCTCATCCGTTATCGTCCTCCTCCGCCTACCTCCTCCACCTCCTGCGACTCTCGTCCTTTTCGTTCCTCGTCCAACTCGCCATTCCACGGTCGAGAGAAACGGACTGGAAGTTGTCCTTCTCGCACACTTTTCCACCCTGCGTTCCTCCGTCTCCCTGCCTTCGGCCTATCTGACCCTGCTATTGCCCTCTCCTTTTCCTCCACTCCCTCTTCTCACTCTCTCTCTCTCTTTCCAACACGGACTGGACATCCGAGCCTCTACGGCTTTCCGTGGGGTTCTCATATATGCACGCACACGCGGCCGCGTCTATGCATCTACATGCACCTGCACGCATGCAGATTCTGCGTTTCGCGTTCTCGCATCGGCAGATAAATCTCGCTGGCGCTTACGTGTGCCGGAGAGAGATGACGAAAGAGAAAAAAAAGGGAAAGAGAGAGAAAGAGAGAAGGCGAGCGCGAGAGGGGGTGTTGAAACAAGGGGTGGGATGGGTGCATAGTAGAAGCGCATGCGCTCGAGTTAGACGAGCACCTTTCGTTGCACATACGTGCATTTCTATCTTCTTTCCGCTCGCATCCGACACTCTCGTTCCATTTTTCTCTCTATTTCTCTCTCTCTCTCTCCTTCTCTCTCTCTCTCTCTCTCTTTCGTTTCCATCCCTCCCGCTGTTTCACCCTTTCCACCTTTTTCGTTGGCCTTTTATTTCAAAAGGGCCCTGGGCTAATGCAAATTTCCTCGTAAAGTGACGACCGAGCCGCCGAATTACATCGCGAGGCAATGCATCGGCGTCGCTAGCTCGCAACGGCGGAGGACGTGCGATGACGGGGATGTACCATCCGGAAATGGACGCGGCTCGCCTGCCGGTTGCATTTTTAATGTCGTTGTCTCATCGTGAAAATTTGTCGGAGATGGAGGTGGTCGCGGAAATCAATTCAATACTTTCATCACCATTCCTCACAATTTTAATTTGTAAGATTCTAAATATCCAATTTTTTTGTGCGAGATTGAACAAATCAATAGGACTGATACGTGGCAATGTCCATCTGAAATATTCGCGGGCGTAACACAATTGGATAATATGAAATATACATTTTTTTAAATATTAAAATATAGCTACTGTTATGTAAATGATACAGAAGATACTTAATTCTAAATGAATTGGAAAATGCAAAATAAGAGAGAATATTTCGTTTGATAAAACTAATCTCTCTCTTCTTTCGATCTTTTCTTTCGATGTATCGTATCGTCGCATCCGTCGCTGAATTGACTGGAACAGACGTACCGGGCGTACCGGACGTCTATGCGCAGAAATAATTACAGGCTTCTTTTAGAAAGCGCACGGTCGATGTTTCTCTCTCTTGACGGGAAGTCGCAAGTTTATTCATTATACCAGACCAGCGGTACCGGACAGTACCGGACAGTTGAACTGCCAACCCCCATCGAGGATGGCTGCGCGCCCTAGCGGCAAATAAAATCGTATTTCATCCCTTTGCCGGCGAAAATTTTGTCCCTTCCTCTCTCGCACTCGTCCTCTTTCTCTCGCCCTCTTTTTCTCTTTCCGCGGCGTAAGCTCGTACATCAAAGCTCGCCCGCGCCTATCTTCCTCCTCGAATGCTGCTGCCGCTGCCCTTCCCTCCTCACCCTCTGTCTCACCCTCCTCAGAGTCCACCATTTCAATCCCCCACTGCTCACCGTGAACCACCACATTGCCCAACTACCCCCTTTTGCCTCCCTTCCGACTGCCACCCACTCAACCCCATCCTGTATACAACTCATAAACTTTTGTACGGAGCTTTAGTAGCTGCAAGCTAACTTCCGGTCTCGCGACACGCGTTTGTTTCCGTATCGAGCACAATCGATATCGATCGAGTTGTCGGCGCGAATTCGTTGAACGGGAAGGCAACGTTGACTACGTATCGTCATCGTAAATTCGTCTCTCTAATCAGTCACCATGTAGTTTCGTCAGTGAAAAAGTATCCCTCCCGTTACATTCGTTTGGAACGGAAGCTTTGCTCGACAAGGATTTTAGTCGCAAGGGTCCGAGTATGATGACGCAAAAATTAAAATACGTACAACGAAGGTACATATGTTGTAAGGAAATTAAATTGTGGATAATGAAAGAGAGTTTTCTGATTTATTATATTTCGAGACGCGGGACAATTTGATCCGACATATTTATCGCGACGATAAAGTATCATTTTGCAAATGTTTTCCATTGCTGCCCAAAAATACTTACGATAATTCAATTAATGCGCAACACGTTGTACCCACGGATCGAAGAGTGAAACATATTGGTTTGAGTACGACTGTGTATTTTTATTTAGTCGAATTTTCAACAGCGCGTAACGCGAGGATATAAAATACGGAACGGCCGCGAGAAGTTAGCGCGAACATACCATCGCGATTTATTTCAACCCTTCCGCGGACTGCTCTGGCTTCGGGATGTAGAATGCAAACCCCGACGATAAGCTAGCTGACCGCCGGTGGTTTTCATCATATAACTCGATTAGCCCTGAATTCTCTCTCTTTTTCGATATAATTCAACGCGAATGCAATTTTCAGTAATTGCAGCGGTAGAAAGCAACAACCGAACGGAAGAGCGGACGGAAAATACGCGAAATCCTATTAAGCGCTGCGCGCTTACAAAATAATCTTTAAGAGCGTCCGGAATATAGAAATTTATGAGAAAAGAAATCTCCTGTAACATAATGTAACATTATTATGAAGAAGAATACAACTTGAATAGAAGCTTGAATTAATCATTCGACGGAATTATTGTGAAGGAAACTCTTGTAAATACACGATCCTGTTATTAAGAGTGGCCAAATCGTTACCAATTAACATTCAACTAGCGCACGCCACTCGACAAAATTAATCTATTTTCAGCTGACAGCTTCCGCTAAGAACGCTTGCCGCCTGTTGTGTATAAAAAGCGGATATTAGAAAAAAAACTTATTTTCCCCAAGATGAAAAGTCGGATTTTTCGACTGTCGAAATCAAAACGCGAGAACGTTATACGAGAACTAATCCGCCCCTTCTCTAAAACCAAAAACCGCCCTTCTAATTGTATCGAGGAAAAGAAGAAACGAAAACAGTTAGCTTTTTAATTGGGTAACATAATTGCTGCCCGGCAAATTGGATCATTCGACACGTGGCTGCCACGCGAGGCTTCTGTCAAACACCCTCGGTACATCCTGCAGGAAAGCACCGTTAGGGTCTAGCCACGCTTCCTCCTGGAATCGTAATGACAGGTAGTGCGTCAAATAATTATAGTGACCATCTATCCATCTATGTGTGATCATCGTGAATTATCTAATCATTGACGTGATTTTTACCTGAGCAATACAATCCTTTTACCTTTAGTTGTTTAAACATATTGAGTAAGACAGTAATTAAACGAAAAAGGGATATTTGCATTATTTTCATGTTAAACAAATATTTTTGGTCACTCTCTCAGTTCATCCCCTTTTTCTCTCTATATAATTATTCTCTATATAATTAATATTTTATATAATTAATATTTAAATACTTTTCATACATGATCAACACATGAGAATGATGTTCTATTTACAACTACGTTGTTCCCGTGAAACGATATGTTTTGCGGCGAATCGTAGAAAGGATGTTCATTATAAAAAGAATGCACAATTCCAGTTATAGAATTATCTGCAAATTCCTATATATGTACCGTTCACATGATATCTGCATCACGGAAGATTCGCGTTGCTTAATATGTTCGCATTCCTACGTGAGCCCCATACGATCCTAAATGATTCAAAACGCTGATAATGCATTCTCCCTCTCGTTACAGCCTAATTTTTACCGGATTCGTTCCAGCCGCTGCAGTTGCGCTGCAGACTAACCGGTCAGACTCTCTCCATTCGTTTCGATCGAACGTCGATTACTCACACTAGGCTACGTCCTCGCAGACAAATCCGGAATTCCGTGAATTTTACATGCCAAGGGATGCTCGCGAGAAATTGGTCTCTTCACAATCGCGATGAGTTTTCGTCACGTCGACAAATCCAATTTATTTCTACTGTTTCATTAATCTTTATCGCTTTATATAATGATGGATATATTTTTTTTAAAAATAATACTGCGAAGAAGGACATTATATATTTGACTCTTGTAATTAATTCTTTAATTACCAATTACATCGATTGATAATCGATTCGTGAATGTTTGAGAAGACACGCGAAGCAGTTTATTCTCACCTAAGGCGTCACAAAGACACATTTATTTTCGCCAAGTAATCATTATCAGTTTACAACTTCCTACATATCCAAGACTAGTTGAAAGACACACCTCCGAGAAGCTATAAGCTAAAGCCGATAGTTATGCTACGTAGGTACGTCATGCCGCGCTTCTCGAGAATACGGTTCGACGTTCGAGGCACGACGGATTTTCCGCATGAGACATTCCCGTGCTTTTCATCGTTTCGCATGCGACGATGCGTATCCGGCAGTTTTGCGCGTGCGAACGGCGCGTGCACGCGCTGGTCACGGAATTCCTCCTCGTCCCTTCTCTCTCTCTCTCTCTCTCTTTCTCTCCCGATGAATCTAGCCGCGTCGCGTTTCGCATTTCTGCATAATGCACAATCCGTCTGGCTGACTGCATATGAAATAATCGCTTTTCGCGATCGCGACTCGCCGCGCCAGCCGAACGAGCGAAAGAACAGATGTCATGTTACCGCTTATTTTTTTTAGCTCCACTTCCTCGTCTACCATCCCCCGCTCCCCGCTTCCACCCGTTTTCTCTTTTCTCGTAGAAAAAGAGAAAAAGGGAAAGAGCACGGGGAAGATAGCAGATAGGGGGAGGCGGAAAAAGAGGAACGCACGGTGGAACGAAGAGGAGAGCGGCGGAGCCCGTCAGTAGACGTAGACGTGTGTGTGACGTACGCGAGACTCTCGGATTACGAGGGAATAAAGAGAGAATTCGAGAGTAGCGATGAAAAATCATTTCGCGCAGAGCGCAGAGAGCGGAGCTCTGTCGGACGGCACTTATTATTATTATCCGGTAGAAGCAACTTCCAGCCGTAAGCCTCGTCAGCTCGTGTTTAACAGCATCGGCGCAGGATGGCGATATTAACGGATTCAAGGAGGATTTAACGTACCACCCGCTATCCTTTATAGCGGCCGACTAATGCGCGTAATTAGCCGAATATGCGCGATGCTTGATATGCATGACGATTCGAAAAGAGATAATAGACTCTGACGTGTTTAATACGTTGCTTCACCCTCCCAAGTATTTCCGCAGTACGTGTATTATTTTTTCATTCAAATTGCATATAGTGTTGCGCGCATCTGCAGTTTCTTAACATATTTTATATTTTATGACACGCGGAATATTATATCGTTGCGAATGTCACGCACCAGAAGTGTAATATTTTTGACGTCTGCAAAGGAAATTCTATTATATAAAAATATAAACGATGACAGTTATATATTACGGTTAATATTAGAGTCTTTGCATAATTTGAAAACTCTAGATATATGAGCGATCCCGTAGCGATTGATTTTCTCTCTGATGATCTGGAAATATGACGCGCCTTGCTTTGCCTAATTTATGGCAATAAGCGACGCTCCAAAAATTCGAGGAAAACCTGCGTGGAAACTAGAAAATTGAAAATGACGAGAAACATCGCGGCTCTGCGCCGAATCGTGCTCAGAGTTCCATAATTCGCCATGAATTATCCTCAGCAGACATCCTAACGAGAGTCGCAACGCGTCCAACGAGTGGCGGACAAGCAACGCCACCGGTAGAAAGGGTAGGAAGGGTAGGCTGTGCGCTGGTCGACGCCGGAGAACGAATTAGCCCTGTGGATTAGCGTCCGCATATTTTTGCAAAAACGAGATAATGCAAAAAAGCGCGCTGGCCGGTCCAGGCTCGTACGGATGTTGCGTGGCAGAAGGCGGGAGGTGAAAAAGGGGTGGATGGACGAGGATGGTTCGTGACGGACGAGGGCAGCAGGAGGAGGCTGGGGGCCGTCGAGGGTGGAGGGCGTGGCCAGGCGGCCTCTGGCAGGTTTCAAACGAGAAAGAGAAAGAGGAACCGTGTTTCCGTGATAGCAGAATCTGCGAGAGCGAGCAGGCGAGAGGAAAAAAAGAGAGAGAAGGAAAAAAAGGCATAGAAAGAGAGAGAGAAAGAGAGTAGGAGAAGGAGAGAGAAAAAGAGAAAGAGAGACAGATGACGATGAAAGAGAGAATGAGAGAGGACGCGAGGGAGAAGGAGAAAAGAAAGAGAGGGATGACGAGAAAAAGTTATAGATGCACCGGTGCACGTGTGTGTGTCGCTTAGGTGCTCGTGTGATCGTGCGTTGCATACGCGACGCGTATCTGCACCGCGTGTGTGCACGCAGACACGCCGGTTCTCCTCCTGTATGAGCTCAACTATAGTGAACATGGTCCGTGGGGCAACCAGGGGGAGGAGGAGGGAACGGTGGGACAAAGGGGTAAAAATCATTGCGCGGTCCAGCCTCGAGGCTGATCGATGGTTGCTGCACTCACCCCTGCATCTACTGCTCCCGTCCCCTTGCCCGCGCGTCCGACAACTGCCCCCGCGCGCATTCACTGATCCCTGGGACTCACTGACTGGCCAGACAAAAAATGGCCGGTTCCAAGCCCATCCACCTCCGGCCAGGCTGACGTCGGGTGTTTGATGACCTCGGGGCGGCTAGAGAGGCCCGGGAGGTGAAGGGTGCAAAACTACGAGGCAGGGTGCGCCGAGGGACGGCCGGTGTACCGAGGGCCGACGGCCGGAAAACCAGCAGCCCACCCTCTCCTCCTCCGCCACCCCCTTTACGATCCCACACCACCCTCGCGTACCACCCCGCCCGCCGCCCCTCGTGGTCCACCCGCAAAAGGGTGGACGACGGGAGGGAATCGATGACGGTGGATGATTTTACGTACACTCGCTCAACGGTCAGCTCTGCCCTCTTTTCGCGGATTCGGCAGCCTCGCGATTGGTAGACGCCGAACGTACGCGGCATTGCCGGCGTTGTCGCGCAGTTTTCTCCTTTTCCCTTCGTTCTCTTCCTTTCGATTTTTCGCCACGTGTCTTTCGAGAGGAGTCGTGCCGATCTAGACGACGGTTCCCAAATCGACGTGGGAAACCAGAGCCAATGTTGCGTAGGTAAAAATCCTTTACTCTCCATTTTCATAGCTCTGTACCTATTATTTATATTTATATCGAGCTCTTTAAGAACGAAGCGCATTATTCGGCGTAAAATCTCTGACTTTTGGAGCATCGTGATTCAGGGGCAATTAAAATAACGCGGCGATAACGTGTAAACATCGGGTAATGTGGTATCGCGTATAGACAAAACGTTTATAATGTCACGTGCGTTAAACCCGAAATAAATACAAATAATTGGTCAGTTTTAATACGCTACGAGAGAAGCGTGCGAAATAATTTTATTTAACAAAGCGCGTAATGTAGATTATGTAAATAATTTTGTTGACCAGTCATGTTTTGTTTCATTTCGTATAAAACGTGTGCATGTAAATTGTTTATCGCGCGGAAATTCCGCTTTTATCTGTAATAAAACGCAATATGCACCGATGATGCATTACCATTAAATCCGCGATAATATCGCAACTCTTTAACTCAACTTTCTCTCTCTCTCTCTCTCTCTCTATTTTATATATATATATTATTTTACACTTATACTTAACGCATGTTGTCTAAATTACTATATCGACATACAAGTGTGCTTCTCATATAATTAATATTTTTTAAAAATGTATACTTGTATGTCGACTCTTTAAATTATTCATCGATAAGAATATTGATACTTCGTTATTTCAAGTAAAAGAAATATATATAAATATTATATATGTATGTATATCTTTATATATTGATACATTTCAATTGGAGTATTATTACTATGTATTATTACCATAACATTCATTCTTTCAATCTTTTTACGTGAGATTCAAATTTTATACACATTAGTCTTTTAATTATATTTTAGAGATTAAGAGATATTTCTGCAAAAAAATTTACATTCGCTTTAAAAGCGTAAAAGGTATTGACTGATATGCACGAATTCTAAAGTCGATCCAAGCGTAGGCATCATCCCATCGGAATATCTCTTCGCGTCTCTCTTGTCACGCGAAGCTTTCCTCGTGCAAACGGAGGAGTTCAACGCCAATGACACAGCGTCACGGTCGTTAATGATGCCCCCGTCCGCGTTTCCTCGTGCGATTCTTAGCTTGCGCACCCCGAGGGAGACAAAGCGTCCTCCCTCCATCCAGGCGTTCTAAACGGATGTGTGTATGATAGAATTTCTTCCGTCATTAAGAAAGCCGTACAATGTATACGGGTATCTAAGCGCGAGCGGACAAGTGTCGTCGCGATGACGACGTCGTCGACGTCGTCATGTCGCGACAAAACTTCCGCCGGGTGCGGCGGCATCTCTCGCGAAATTTCAGTCCCCACGTTCCCAGTCGAGCCAAACCTCCCTCAGCGATGGTATATACTCGTCATGTCTATTGAAGTAACGGAAAGCGCGCGCACGACTCGTGGAAACTCTTCGCACTTTGCGCTCCAGATAGCCCGGTTCCTTGTGTCGGTCTCTCCGCTCGACTGCTTCTTCTTGCCTCTTGCGACCGCCGTTCCACTTCTTCTTCCGGACGAATTTTCCACATTCGTGACATTTCTTTTTTACGTAACGCGATATTGCGAGTCATATTGTCGAGAAAAACGACAGATGAATCTTTGTATTCGAGAATAAGACAAGTTTCTCCGAATTTACGAATCCTATTCACGTCAATTCCTACTTTAATTTCTAGTTAAATAATCACTTGAGATATCAAAATATTGAAACACATTTATAAAATTCAATAATTGATGAAATTTGCGCAAAAATGTGAAAAAAAAGTGTCGGTCATAAGGACGGTTTGAACGGAAACCAAGAAGGAGGGTGAAATGGCAGGTGAAAGAAGGAGGTTGCGAGCGAGTGAGTTTTAACCCGGCCTAACCTACCCCAATCAAGGATCTACGTTCGAAAGTTTGCACGGTAACGTAGCTGTGCTCGTACTAGCAAGAGAATCAACGAAAAGCTCCAGCATGCTATACCGGTTCGTGCACGGTGAACAAGCTACTGATGCGCGGTCATTGAATGGACCGAAAGGGGAAGCGAAATCATTGTCAGCCATGGATGAACATTGGCAGAGTGCATCATCGAATGACCAGAGTCACCCTTGGTTACTGCCGTTTGCCCTCGTGTAGGCCTCGCTTTCATGATTTCTACTGGAAATTAGCCAACTGGCTAACGACCAAATAACAGTCTCTCTGTCTCTCCATCTACGCGATTCTTTCGCATTTGTCTTCCTCTCTTACCCATGAAAATCCGGTTCTTCTCTTCCTTTTTTATTATCGAATTTCTTATTTTGCTCATCTTAAGTTAGCCTATAATAGTCGCGTTTTGCAGCCTTCACTCTCAACATTTTCAAAATTTCGAGAGAGAAATATAGTTATTATAGAAAGTCTAAGTGAATTATTTCAAAAAATGAAACGTGAAAATAAAAGCAAAAATAAATTAAGTCTTGTGATTTTTTTGACTCATTTCTTTTTTAAATCTTATAATAAAAGCGTCATCGTTACGTATCTTATAATAAAAGCGTCATCGTTACGTATTCGGACATACGATTCGAACGTACGATTAAATTACTTTTATCATACGCTTTTGACATGCGTAATTTAGGAAAGAAATAAGAGAGATGACAAGATGTTCCGTGCGGGTCGATCGCAACGTAACGCAGCTTTAATTATAGCTCGTAGTTTCTCGTACGGCAAGAATATATCTCGGTCGAAGGAAATATCGGATGATACGGGCCAATCCACGCAAGGTGGAAGGCGGAAGGTGGGACGAGACACGGGAACAAAAGTTTTGCGGTTCGTGATAGAATGATAGACGTTTGTTCGGGAAAGAAAAATGCAAGATTCGCTGCAGTCACGAAATGGCAAATTGGAGTTGAAACTTCCCTCGTACGGATTTGGGGTAGGTTGGGTTAAGGCGTGACGGCGGCGCAGGCAGAGGGGGACATGGTTCTCCCACGGAAAACGCTACCCGAGGGCGAGAGAGTTCTCGTTAATCGGGTTTCGTCTCCGCGAGAATCCACACGTACGATATGTGTTCACAATCAGTTATAAAGCATTTTAAAAAAATGGCGAAGAGAGAAAGAAAGAGATAAAGAGAATTTTTCTATCAAAGTAGGCAAATAATTTATCTCAATAATAAAAAAGTATCTTAATAAAATATAAAGGCATTTTTCGATAAATAAGATAACAAAATATTCTCACGACAAGTCTTGTTATCTTATTTATATTACCTATAAGCAAAAAAAAAAGAAATTCTTAATAAAAAAAATAACATTTATCCTGAGAGATATGTCGGTATAAGAAGGTCCGAAAATATATTCAAAAGAAATAACGTTATTTCGAAAGTATGACGAATACGATAGGTATAACGTGCACGAAACCTCTCGAGTAGATGTGCCAAATCACCGCGCGATATAGCTCCTCGTGTAACCTTAAAAAATCTTAATGCGGCTTTTGGCTTGGCAGGGGCAAAGTTTAAATTGAACCGAGGAGCAGGAGGGACATAGCGCGAGGACGGGAGGAGGGAAAGGGGGGAGGGAGAGAAGGTGAGGGCTTTGGAAGATATACCAACCGACGGCTCACGTGGGTCGAAGGGGGTGAGTGCCGTGCGTGCGAATCCCCGAACGGAACACATGCAAGCTTTGATAAGCTTTCGGAACACATGTACATGATGATGAGCCATTCGAACCTCGGGCTTCACGATTCGCACAATATTACGTAATGTGCCATTCACCGGTATATTTACAACTGTTCTTTGCGTTATATAGATTGTAGAAATTAATAATAATGGCGAAGAGATACTAAGTAATAAGCAATATATACATATAATGATTAATGCCGTGAATGATTTGGATGTGTCACATAGAGTGTTTATAAGACACTTAAACTTATTTAAAGCGAATCTGCTTATATACGTGTAGTAAAAGAGAAACTAACAGATGCTGGGAATGAAGCATGCGATCAGGAGAACATACGACGAGAGAATAGAAAAGTTGGCGAAGTAGGTTCTCCAAAGTACAAAAAAATAAAATACTTATTGTTTGAGTTAATATTATAATTAGTAAATAATATATATATGATTATTCTTCTATAATATCGTCAAAATGATATTTTTACAATGTTTTACATTAAATAAAAATAACTAATAGATATGGAAACAATATTTGATTTAGAAAGATGGAATTTTGAATCTAATTATAATTGTATTTATCTAATTTTAGAGAAGAAAATTTTAAAGAAATATGCAAATTTTCGCTCTTTTTTCTGACATGCAAAACATCGCTTTGATTATGATTTAGATTAGAACTAAGATGTAAACCTAAGAGATTCAAAATTGTTTTCTCGAACTTTTTTATCTGTTTCCCTTTAAAATCTTGGCATCGCCGTGCTTTTCAGCAAAATATTATAGAGTTGGTTTCCGTCAAAACGCGAGGGTTGCATCGAGCACGTAAGAGGGCAGAAAACCACCCCAAGCAAGTCTAATGCCTACGCCCTCCAGTGAGAGCTTGCTTCAAGAATTGTCCCTACTGCTTATTTATTTCTTCATTTGAATTTTATTATCTTGTTCCGTCGTTACGGAGCTTGGTCTGCTTCCTTATGGCATTGCACAAAAATGAGAATAGCCTTTTGCAAAAGCCTCGAAGACGAAAAGGCGTGCATCGATAAATTGTTTAAGATGCTTATACTACGTTTTGTGGCTGTATCGAGAACATTGAGAAAAAAAAACGATTGTATAAGTTTGAAAGGTCCTCGAATTTGATAGGCGCTTAGCTTTACTATATCATTGTGTACGAAAACTTCTGTACACGAGCGGCTTTACTCATTTTCACTCACCCAGGGGGTAGTTAACAACCTATGCTCCGAAATGTAGGAAACGTATATGCTAACACAATACCTGCCAAATGTTAGCTTAAGCAAGAGTGCATGTGCACAACAGTTTTGTCGAACCCCCTGACCTTTCGCCGCACATGGAGTTAACTTTATCGATCGATAATGCGGTTTCACTTATGGAAGTGCTTCCGCATTTAATTCCGAAAGTATTCCTCAGAAAAATCGAAAGATTTCTTCGTTCGATTGTAGTTTAGAAGAGATGCGTAATATAATTTACAAAAATTTAATTGAATATGTTAAGGCATGTTAAAACATTCGGCATTAAAATTCACGTAACTGCAAAATAATTTTAATAATTTTCACGATATACTTATGCGCAAGTGGACGGAAACTTGATTGCTCTTCACAATCGTTATGATCGCGCCATTTATCCAAGGGAGTTCGTGACATTTACAAATAGCGGGTCAATGTCTTCTCGTTG